CTGCACAAATACGTGACATTCAGCTGACCTTCATTTGCCGGCCTTGTTTCACTTAGAGCTGCTATTTGGCTGCAATAGCTGCTGGGTTCTCTTGCAACAAGAGCTGTTCCTCTTTCAGGTATACTGGATTTCATGTTGTCCATAAGTGTGCGCACATTACCTATATTAATGGTGAGTAGAATCATCTTTGCAGAAGTTTTTATACATATTTTTTGTGTTTCAACCTCAGGGTGGGATCCCTACCAGACATGGTAAGCAGGCCAAGGTTGAATAAAGCAGAAAATTTTTATGGCATCTTTTCTAGCCCCTTCCTCACATCAAGAGGTAAGCTGTGCAGTCCTTAAAAGGGTGCTCAGTCTCAAGGGGCTGCCAAATCCCTCTGCTGCTTGTAATGGGAAGACAACCCTATGACCTGGGCCATCTGTGTGCAGGGTTGTGACTACAGCTTCCAATATGTCTGCACCTGCTGTTTCATCACTTGCCTGTCACCACGGGACTTTGAGACAGGTAAAAAAAGTAAAATGGCATTGGGTAATGTCTTTTGATTAATGCATAAATTGAACTTAGGTGAGGCAGAGTCGTGTGAAGTTGTCAGCCTCTCTTTCTTCTAGAATCATCAAAGTCCAGTGGGAAAATGAAGTCAAGTTAACTGGTGATGGCTTGGGATGCCATGGATGACCTTGGTGTCTTTCATATTTAACCAAGCTCTAAGTGCTCCACAGCACCTTCTTCAGCCACCTTCATGGCCATAGGAACAAATTGTTTTCAGCCACCCATTCCACCAGGGGATGTCTTCACATGCTTGGGGTAAACACCCCCCTAACTTACCTAAGGTTTTGAGACTCCTCAGTTACCCTCAACCTGGTTTAGCCTGTCTGCCAAAATGGTTTACCAGGGTGTGGCCCCTGTGAATGCTACAGCATCTAGGAGACACTGGTGAGAGTTGGGTGAATCAGGTGGACTCCAAAAGTAGAAAACAGCCCTGAAAGGGGCTCAGCAGCCCTCACACCAGGGGTACTAGGCTTCCTGAACATGCCCTACACCCCCAAACATAACATAACATATAACAATAGAACCTAATGGCATGGCAGGACATAACAACATAATATGATATAACATGATAAGATATATAACATGATTAATGTAATATAACTCAACATGAATATAATGTATTGTGCTGTATTAAGTGCATTGAGAAACACACAGTCATAGAGACAGAAAGACAGACTAAGCAAGAGCAAAGAGTCATTCTTTGACAAATTATCTGTGAAATAGATCAGATCTTAAACTATGGGCTCCTGGCTTTCATGTGTAATGTAGTAGTGAACAGAAACTTATCTAGTATGTATGTGTGTGTGCGTGTGTGTGTGTGTGTATGCCTAGCACAGTTCCATTATATATGTATGTATATGTATGTGTGTGTGTGTGTGTGTGTGTGTGTGTGTGTGTGTGTATATATATATATATATATATATATATATATATATATATATATATATATATATAGGAGATTAATGCCCAACAACCCACTATCCTCTCTCCCTTCCATCCCCTGCATATGCACATATTTGTATATAGTATGAGAACAGTAAGTATTTATTCAGAAAATGAATGAATACTGAATAATTCTCTCTAAAGAGTTCAACATGCTGCCCCTAGGCTTTGTGGGAACAAGTGCTCTGCTGATTAGTCATAAGAACTAGGTTGACCAGGTTATATTTATCAAAAAAATATTTTTTTCTGGCTAGACTAATTCCAAAAGAAGGTTCTTTTAATTTATATTCTGATTATGTATTTCATCCATGTTTTGTTTTTCCATGGAGTCTCTTAAGAGGTTTAGAGACTTTGGGCAAATATAATATCCTTGCAAGATGGAATGCAAGGTGTTTATTACATAGAAGATGGTCAAAAATGTTTGAATGATTGAATAAAAATAAAAATCTTGAGAGTTTAGCCATTGGTTCTTCTAACTGCTCCCCTCTCCATAAATCACCTCACTGTAGCTATAAAGGGAAATAGAGAGAGAAAAAGGAAAATGAGGCAAATAGGAAAAAGAGAGAGAAAGAAGAGAGGACTATGGTATGTTTTCAGGTTCTCTTGGAATGTTTGATAAGAAATTTAATGTATTTTCATGATTTTTTAAAAATTCCATGAAGTACAGCCAGGTTGAGCAGCCCCTAATATTTGGAGTGAGACAAGCACAAATAATGTAAAAACCTCATTATAACAAATAGCTGCCTGCTAACAAATAACAAATGATCAAGTGTGAGGTGCACATCCATTTCCCCTTCCTGCCTTCAATGAAAATGCTCATGAAGGTTGCCATGGATCAAAGAATCAATTGTGAGAGAGAAAAAAAGATATTTTTAATGACTAAATAATCCACAAATTGGACAATCAGGCCCTATATAATTAAGACCTGTGGGTATTTAATGATAACTACAGCATTATTTTCCAAAGCGCCTCTGTCATCTCTACGTTTTTTTCTTTCAGCATACCAGCTTCAATTTGGCAGCTTGCTTTCATGCCTCATGACTTTTGCTTTGAAAGACAGGAAGAACGGCTGTCAGATAATTCAGAGGCAGGGCCAGAACGAAGTCTCCTGATTTTTACAGTCACAACCTATTAGTGCAAAATCTTCCAAACATCAACACAACAACTCTGCACTATGTACATTGTGTTATACATTGTTCCCAATATTCTGTCAGAAAGAAAATTTGAAAACGGAAGCCTGGCTCCTAGAGAACAAAGGTAAATAATTCTTCTTGGCCAAACAAATACAATTAGATAATGTCTTATTTCTCCAGACTAACTGGTCCCTTGGGGATCCAAAATATATTTACTGCCTGTGGCTAGTGGAGTGGGGTAGGGGTAATGATTTTAATGAGATTCAACCCCTTCCTTCCTTTACTATATCCAACATGCAAATGCCAGCAAGAATATTGATCATAATAGTATCATAGATTTAGATCCAGGAAGGAATTTTGAGGCCATCTACTGTGACCCCTTCATTTTTATCAGGGAAGAAAACTGAGGCCCAAAGAGGTTAGCAATTTGTCCAAAGTTACATGGGCGGTAAATGATAATTTTAGAGAGATGTATGGAAGCAGGAAATTAAGGAAGGAAGAAAGGAAGAAACAATACTTATGGCATATTGTAATATATACTATTCTAAGGGATATTTTGTGGTTGCTAACATGATTCAAACCCTCACCAAAAAAAAAGTAGTATATCCTTCTATTCATTTATGGTACTGGTGTTAGTGGTGGTGCTGGTGGTGGTGATAGGAGAAACACTGACCTAATCAAGACTTGTGTTTTAAGTCTTAGCCTTTTCACCTGCTAGTTTCTGGCTTTGGGTAAATCCTTTAATCTTTTAGATTATCTATTTCCTCATCTGTAATGTGTGGCTAAAATTTCAAAAAAAGTACCTGACAGGATTGTTGTGAGATCAGAGGAAATACCGCTTTTGGATTACTTTAGAGCCATAAACCCCTACAATAATGGAAGTTATTTGTAGGATTAATTTAATTCAAAACCGCACAGTTAAACAATTTAACCCTTCTCTTTATCAACATATACATTCTATTGATCCTGTATCTCCTGAAAACTGCAACATCAAAACCAAACAACAGCATCAAAGCATTACTCTGCATTATATAATGTCTGCCATGATTATTTAAGTTTTCTGGAATTATGATCATTGAAACTGCAAACAAGGCCTACCCATATATAAAACCACAAGAGACTAAACCATGGTCTTTGCCAAATGAATATCTATTGGAAATATTTCCCTGAAGAATGATGTAATTAAATAAAATACCATCCAGTCTCCAGTCAACAAATGTTTGAACCTATATTCAGGGCACAGAAATGATTCTGTTTTTGTTTTCTTTTCTTTGCAGATTCTGGTTTGCGTTGCTTTTCTGAATAGTTTTTGCCATCATGAAACTTTTCAATTTTCCTTTAATATTTTTCTTTCATCTTTTTTCAGGTTTTTATTTGTTATTGCAGTTGTTAATTCATGATTCATGCTCTCAATTTTTAGTCCTAAATTCTTTTCAAGTCTAAATGCAGAGCTGTCAATAAGTTCCCTGAACACTCAGCACCACCTCTGGTCTTTAGCCAGAACTGCAGATCCAGCACAAATTCTAGCTTTTTTCCCCAAAGGTTTGCAATGTTCAGTATCTTGGACTGAATTTTTAGTTTCACAAGTGAGAAATAAGAATCTGAGAAAGGAAAAAATATTTCTTCTAAAAGGAAACAATTCTTTACTAAAGAATCTAATGATAACCCTACTGTTAGGTGTGCAGATTCAGAGCAAAGGTGTAGAGGAAATAGTGCAGAATGTGGAGTCAGAAAATCTGGGTTCAATTGTCAGCTGCATTACTTATGAGCAGTCATATCACAGGCAGTTCATTGTTATTCTCTGGGTTTTTATCTTATTAGTTGTCATATAAGAGAATTGGAGAAGATGACCTCTGTCATCCCTTCCACAGTTTAAAAATATGTGATTCTATGAACTCTCAGACGGCAAGTGTCAGAATTATTGGAAGTTTCATCAGACAGAATTTTATGGAAATTCCAAGTGAAAGGCCCATTGTTATTTCTGAAGTTGTCTACAAATATCACATTTCACAACTATCTGCAGTTCCTTATGTCAGAATTGGGACATACATCAATATTTTTAATGGCATCCTTATCTTAGTAATTTTTACAGGGGTAGGTAACCTGAGGCCTCAAGGCCTCAGGTTTGAACTGAATCCAAACTTCACAGAAGTCAAAGGGCAGCACGTGAGGACCTTGAAGGCCATATGTGGCCTCAAGGCCGCAGGTTTCCCCACCCTTGATGATATTTTGAATAGCCTGATATCATGGAAAATATCACTGCGTTAGAATTCAGGAAATTTGGATTCCTATACCAGCTTTACTACTAATAAATCCAATGTTAGACAAAGTCATGAGTTTCCCTTGAGTCTCCATGGACTTCAGATTCCTCACCTGTAAAATCAGAAATTTGGACTATGCTTCTTCCTTTAAGGTCCATTCCAGCTCCAACATTCTAATAGTATGTCATAATGAATAGAATTCTGGGATTGGAATCAAGAATTATGTTTAAGGTTCACCTCTGAAGACTAGTATCTGTGTAATGAGATTTCTACTTCTCACTTCTGTAAGAGAAAAGAATTTCAATTGAATGAGAAGGAGAAGTAATGATGAAGGGGATTTGAAGGGGTTTGGACTTTTGTAAAAAGGTAAAAGATTGGATTTAGAGGAAAATTTGGCAAGCAATTGAGGAAGATTTAAAGAGGAAAATTTCCAAGTCTAGATTGTGTTTTCAACTTCTGTGTGAAAATGTTTCAGATGAAGGAGTAGGAGAGGAGACAAGATGTAAGTTGAATAACGAGAAAGAATTTGTGAAGGTGATTTTGATGGCATTAGGCTCATGAAGATAACAAAAAAATTAATTTGAGGAAGGAAAAATTTGGAAGAATTGAAGGATAAGCTGAAGAATAACTCTAGCTAAAGGAAAACAGGGGTCAGTCTGAAAGGAACGAATGGCTTGAATAAGGACCTAAAATAAAGAATTTAAGAGAAGTAAATGGCAAAGAGTTGTTGGCAAGGCAACTTAAGTAAGAAAAGGTAAGTAAAACATGTTGGTAAGTAAGCTCAATTGGTAAAGTACATTAGTAAGTTAAAAATAGTGAAACAAATAAAAAGTTAGTCATAAAAGGCAAAAATGGGGCATGATTATATCTAGTTGTTAAGACAAAGGAAAATTGAGCATGATCCTCAAGATAAAAGGTGAGAAAATGAGGTGCTAGGGAGGAAAGGTGAAAACACTCACAAGTAGATCAAAAAACAAGCCTGAAAATCCCAGTCAGTGTGGAGGGCATATTGACTTCTAAAGTGACTTGCATTGGGTGATGTATGCACTTCTCCCAAAGCCAGGTGATTGCTGTCTGTTTTCTAGATATCGACTGATCCCTCTTCTAAAAAGAAATGAGTATACTCAAGGAAATCACACTTCAATACTGAAGAACAATGGCATATTCCTTTAAAAATCTTCAATGGGGAAAAAAAAAGAATCTGAAGTGATAGAAGGGAAACCTAAGCCTAGACAAGAGTGTGGAAAGGATAAGACAATCACATAAAAAAGAAAGGAAGGCAGTGTATAATTACATACTTGGATCTAAAATAATAAAACTTTTAAAAGAGGTTCTTAAAGAAGAGGAAGCTAGGTGCTCTGTGGAAGAATCAACTGCTCTTCCTCTAAATAATGATAATGTAGAGTTACTATAACTGTGGAGTGAGAGATCACCCAGTTAAGTGTCAAGGAAGAAGAGAAAGTAGTGGTGGTTTGTAATTTACCGCTTAGGTGTGCTGACACAGCTGCTCATTAACATGAAAACAATTGAGAAACTGCATGCAAGACTTAGGAGAGATTATTCTGAAATTTAGCAAAATGGAATATCTACTTCCAGTGAGTAACATGAGCACAAATGATACTACCAGAAGGAACCTCAAAAGTATTGTCCAAGATTATAAACTCTTGGACAAGAAGCTAAAAATCATAGAGGCACTAATTCTGTTTTCTTCATTGATAGCCACAAAGGGAAGGGATGTTGAAAAAAAAATTTATTTGGGAAGTGTCAATTGTCTACAAAGATAGCTAAGAATGGGATTTGTATTTTTGGACAATGGCTTAAACAGTGATTCTTAAACTATGGGTCGTGACCCCACATGTGGTCATGAAAAATTTGGCAATAGTAAAAGGTTTCTGAACGTGCAACGGCCAAAAATTAATTCAAAATCAAACGTGTAATGAATCCTATGTGTTTCTGGCAGCACTTGCCCCTGTCGCATCACCCAACTTCACTGCAGCGTTGGTTCTGAACACAGAGTATGTGCACTTTGCACTGTGCATGCCCTCAGGCCATGCAACACCAAAGAACACTGCCAAAAACATGAAAAGGAATATCAAGAGGAAACAGTTTAAGAAGCCCTGGCTTCAAATATAGAAACAACAGACTCCTAGACAAGGATTGAGCATCTTTGACAAGGGTCAGAAAGAATATATTTTATCTGGTGTCAATATATATATAGATAGATATGTAGATATATAGATATAGATATAGATATAGATATAGATATAGATATAGATATAGATATAGATATAGATATAGATATAGATATAGATATAGATATAGATATAGATATAGATATAGATATAGATTAGAAGGGTTTTAGAATTAAAAGGGATGTGGGAGGATAAAATTGACTAGGTTAGATATCATAGAGAATATATATATTATATATATGTGGAAGAAGAATATCAATGCAGATGCATGAAAATTCAAATCAATATAGGTGAACAAGTACTGTAGCAACCAACATATATCAAATATCTATATATCTCTCTCTAAATAAAATTTATAATAGGGCAGGATAAGAGAAGATGAATAAAAGAACATGAAATAGGGTTATAAAACTGGTACCAATAGTGCAAAAGCTTAGAATGATCTGAAGCTAGCCAGGAAGCAGAGGACAATCATATGGGATTTAAAAAAAAAAACTCTATTTAGGGAAGCCAGGACTGAAAATGGAGCCACCTATTGGGTATGAGTTGGGTATAATGATAATAACTCACAATGTAAAGAAGGTTAAACTTTTGAATTCTTTCTTTGCTTCTATTTTTGCTGGTAAGCGGAATAGCTATTGCACTGGAAATGACAAAACAAAAAAAAAATGAACAATGAGAGCTGTTACTTAAAATAAATGAGATAGGGAAAAAAAAGAGTTCAAATTACTCTAGATACAGATCCCCAGTAAAGAATGACTAGAAGATGTGATTACTGAGTCACTGTCAGTGAGATGTTAAAAAAAATCAAGGACAAAAAAAAGTGCCATAGGACTAGCAAAAGTCATATGTCCTATATTTTAAAGAAAGGAGGAATAGATTCTGCAATCTTTAAGACAGTGAGCTTGGCTTTGAAAAAGCCAAAGGGGAAAATTTGAGAATGGATCATGAGATAATGAATATCTAGAAAATAAAGCTCCAGACTAACCTTATATCTTCTTTGATAAGGTTAACAAATTGGTAGATTGGGTATCTGTGATATATATAGGTATAGATAGATAGATAGATAGATAGATAGATAGATAGATAGATAGATACATGCACACACACACACACACACACACACACACATATATATAGTTTAACTGAGATTTTAGAAAAGCATTTGATAAAATATAACATGATTCTGATGAAAAAGATGGAAAGATTTAGACTAGATGATAATAAGATTAAATGGATTCAGAGTTGATTAGATGACCAAACTCAGAATAGCTAATAATGGTTTCATTTTGACTTGACAGGAGGTCTAAGTAGAATGTCCTATGAAACTATGCTATTTATATATTTTATACATGACTAGGATCAAAGAGTAAATTGGTACAATGATCAAATCTGCTGATAACACACACTTTAGAGAGATAGACGAAACATAGCATGACAGACTTAGGACCCCAAAACACTAGAGCATTCGATTAAGTTCAGTAAAATAAAAATTAATTAGTGATAAATATGAAGTCATATTTGAATTCAAGATAATCAATTTCACACATACAAATTAGAGCACACATAGTTAGATATTAGCTTATTTGAACTAGATCTGGGTATTTTGGTATAGTCCCTAGCTCATTAAGAAGCAGTAGTGTTATGTGGCAGCCAAAAAAGCTGATGCAAACTTGGCCTGCATCAAGAGAGAATAGCTTTCCAATTTATTGTCCTTCTGTATTCTGCATGGATAGGCCCTCATCACCTCATATCTGGATTACTTCAATAGCCTTTTAATTGGACTTCCTCCCTCAAATCCATCCTCTCTTCAGACTGTCCTTCATTTAGCTGTCAAATTAATCTTCTTAAAGTGAAAATCTGATCATGTCACATGTACCCCTCTCCAAATGTAATACGTTCCAGTAGCTCCCTATTAACTCCAGAATCAAATAGAAACTCCTCTCTTTGGCATTCAAAGCCCTTCACAACGTGGCCCCATCCTACGCTTCCAGTCTTCTTACACCATAGTCCCTTCCACCACCCATAATCCCCAACCCTCTCTGTATGTACCTTATGATCCAATGACAATTATTCTTTTTCCTCACACGAGATAATCCATCTCCAGATTCCAGGCATCTTAATTGGCTGTTCCCTATGCCTGGAATAGTCTTCCTTCTCATTTCCACCTCCTGGATTCCCTAAACTTCTCCAAGTCCTAGTCAAATCCTACCTTCTATAAGAGGTTTTTCTTAATCCTCCTTAATGCCTTCTTTCTATTGATTATCTCTGATTTATCCTATATAGTGCCTGTTCATACACGGTTATTGTTTTTTTCATCTCTTGCATCAGACTATGAGATCCCTAACAGCAGAGACAGTATTTTTTTTTTGTAAACCTAATACTTCATACAGCACCTGGCACATGGTAGGAACTTCATAAACACTTTATGACTGACTGATTTTACATTATGATTGACTCTATATAGAGTATTATATGCAGGTCTGGGCAACAGAGTTTAGTAATGATCTTTATAACTGGAAAGTGACTCAAGGTCACCGACCAAAATGGTGAGGTAACTTGAGTCTATGACAGATGAGGATCAGTTTAAGGAAATGAAATTGTTTACCCTAAAGAAGAGAAGGATCAGGGGAGACACAGCAATGCTGAAATATCTGAAAGACTCTACTGTGGAAGAAGAATTAGATTTGTTCTGTTTGGCCCCAGAGGGCAGAATCAGGGGCAATGATTGAAAATTGGAAAAAGAAACATGTAAGCTTCATTATCTAGAAAAGCTTCTCAACAATCAGAACTATTTTTTAAAAAAGATTCACTAGAAATTTATGTTACATAATTTCAACTGGGCCCTTGCCACAAGACAATTCTTTTATATCTCCCTAATTAATGAGTTACCTATCCACCACAATGCTTTTTCCAATACAAGTTTTATCCCTACTGAAACATCCCATAGCTACCATCCCCCTACCTTCTCAGATAAGAACCTTGCCTTATGCTTCACCTAAAAAATCAAGGCCATTACCCTGAGAGCTCCCGCATCTCACATCATTCAGGGATCTTACCCACTATTTTCTCTTTCACCTCTGCCTCACATGAATATATGTTCCTTTTCTTCATCAAGGCAAATCCCTCTACATTTAGCCCTAATCTCATTCTATCCTGTCTTCTCCAGCAGATTCTTCCTCTATTATTCATACACTTACTAATCTTCATTCTCTCCCTACCTACTAGCTGCTTCACTATTTCCTAAAACATACTCATGTCTGCTTCATCCTAAAAAAAAAGACAAAGCCAAAATAATAATAACAATAACAACAACAGATCTTCATTTGATCCAGAACATCCCTACTAACTATTGCGCTCTACATCTCTCCTTCCTTTTGTGGTAAAACTCCTTGAGAAAGCCGTGTGGGATTAGGGCCTCCACTTCCTTTCTCTTTCTTCTAAATATTCTGCAATCTGGTTTCTGACTTAATCATTCAACTGAAACTGAAGCTCCAAAGTTACCAATGACCTTGTAGTTACCAAATTTAATGGACTTTTCTTAGTTTTCATTCTTCTTGAC